GCGTTGACCAGCCGCATCAGGTATTTGTCCTGCAGGCTGCGGTCGCCGCCGATCACGCAGCTCCCGTCCGGTTCCAGCTTGATGTACTTCCTGATGAGCTCCTGAGGGACTCCCCAGGCCTTCGGCAGCAGGCGGGCCGGCAGCTTGGGCAGCACGGTGTTCTTGATTCCCACCAGAGGGATGTAGTGGTTCCTGCCCGAGCTGCTCCACGCGATGCAGATGGGCTTGTTGAGCTTCCCGTCTTTCCCCCGGCACTGCTCTTCGGCCACCAGGCCCGGCAGGAAGGTGGCCGAGTAATCCCCAGAGCTCCTCATCCCGCTCAGGGAGTCCAGCAGGATTATGGGTCGGTGGAGGACGTTGGCTAAACCAAATATGTGGATGTTGCGTAGTCCGAGCGGGACGCCCTCGGGCGGGATGAACAGGGGGTCGCACTCGTTGATGATGTCCTCCCACTCGGCGGCATCGATAAAATCCTGAAAGAGGGCCTTGTAGCAATCCAGGTTCTGCTTGAAGTTCTGTTTCAGGTTCTCCCTCAGGGCGTGCCAGAAGAGTTCTCTGCCCACCAGCGCTCTGGACACGGCGTGGACCAGACAGTGCCCGTCTCCGTCCACGTGGACCGGGATGAGACATTCCCCGCTGACGTTGGCCTTCTTCACCTCCTCCAGGGTGTCGTGGAGGTATATGAGGCTGCCCGACCGGTCCTTGCCGTAGCCCATGGTGGAGACGTGCTCCGGCTCGATCAGGAACGCCCGGTCCCCCAGGAGCGAGCAGTCGAACATCTCGCCCTGGTTCATGTCCCTCAGCAGCTTGGCCTTGCCGGTCTGCTTGTCCATGCCGTACCTGGTGAGCACCGGGGACAGCAGCTTGCAGTGGTAGTTGGACAGACCCATCACCTTCACCAGCTCCGTGCCTTTCTTAGGGGCCCCCGTGACGCCCAGCAGGGCGTTTCTGAGCAGGTTGTGGAGCACGACGTCCGGATCGGTCACCTCCTCCACGGTTAACAGGTTCTTCTGCTCGTGCCGCTGGCCGCACTCCGTGCACTCGATGCTGACGGAGCCGTGAGCCGGGAAGAACAGCCTCGCCTGGCATTTCGGGTCCGGACAGGTACCGGACAAGACACGCTTGTCTCTCTTCTTGGAGCTCTGCAGCAGCGACATGGCGGGAAGAAGAAGAAGAGAAGCCGAGCACGAGCGTTAGCTTCACTCAATCATGACAGTCGACCTCCGGCGACGCTCACCGACAGTTATTCACCCGAAAAACACACAAGCAACAACACGGAAGCGGCTGTGTTTCTGCTTTAGCAACTGACCGTTTGCTAAACGTAGCTACGTCATGGCGTCAAGATTTGTGGGACTTGTAGTTCTGCTGTGTAGTCCGTGTTTAATATGTACACACCAGAAGCAGAATTACCACTTGTTTGATTTTTCTTTGAGTTCATATGACTCTAACACGAGAGAAGACATATTTAAGTTAACGTGAAGACATTGTTAAAGGACTCAGAAACCGAAACAAGAACGCTCGATTAACTACATTTACCAGAATGCAACACGTCGCAGCGACGTTTTGTTGTCAACACGGCAGAGTCATGGCGGTTTGTGCGCATTGGACGGATTGTTTCCAGAAGTATCTTAAATATTTGGGACCTAAAATGTAATAAAAGTATATATATTTGGGACTGCGCGTGATTGTACAGTTGTGCGGTGTTGTGTAGTTTGTATGATTAATATCAGACATTGTTCATGTTCCTGTCTGGACCTGGAACCTGGAGAGACAGACAGACTGCATTCAGACATCTGTCAGTTTAGTGCTTCTTTACCTGAAGGACTAAACAGACACGTGCTGACTAAGCACTAGTGGTGGGATGATCTGTAGGCTCTGTTAGTTTAGATCCTGACAGGCTGGTGGTTAACTTTCATACTAATTAACAAACCAAGACCATTTATGAATGTGTGTGAGCTCATTCTACATGTAAAGATCTTCACCATGAAGCCATGTGGTCTGAAAATGACTGGATGTGTGAACATGTGTCCTGAATAGTTCATCTTAAATGTAAAAACAACAACTATAAATACCAATTTCACCAAATACAACTGTTGTTATTAGCATCCACCATCACAGATATGGAATGTGTAGTAGTAATACCAGTTTCCACTTTATTTGTAGTATAATTGATCAGTTGTATCCTAGTATTAGTAGTATTTGAAGTATTGCAGCAGGGGAAACATTATGTAGTTGTAGTATTTGTCAAGTCAATATAACTGTATTTATACATCACTTTGGAGAAAGTACAACAGAGCCAAACAGGCTTTAAAGACTAAATAAAATACACAAACAGATAACAGACGTACTCCCACAAACAGAGTTAAACAAGAGCAGAGACTGATGGACAGAGATCACCAAATAGAAGGAGATGAAGAAGTACTGAGAAAGTTCTGTCTCAAGATAAAGGTTTCTATCAGAGCTGGTAGAAGTAGTGGTAGTATTTGTAGTAGTATTGTGTTAGTTGCAGTATAAATAGTAACAGTAGTAACATCAATACCTGCAGTGATACTTGTGATGTACTGCTGTGTTTTATTATCCAGTGTGTGTTTGATGACGAGCATCACCAGCATCATCTGGAGACCCTGCTCTTCCTCTGACTGACCACAGGGTGGCGCTCCTTCTCTGTGATCTTTAATGTCTCCTCCAGCAGCAAACGGCAGCAGAAATCCACCATGTGAGGAAGTTCAGTTTGAAATCTGTCACTCAGCCATGTTGGAAGAGCTCATTCATGGATGTGACCGCTGCCGTCACACAGCTGCACCATGTGGTCACTCCTCCAACAGATGTTCATGGAGACACTGATCTCACTGAGGAGCTACTGGGTCCCTAGAATCCATCTGATTGGGAACCAGTTCCCTACAACACAATACATGAAAGATTTACTTTGAAAGAGAACTCTCACAAGAGCCTTCAAAATAAAAGAAATAGTCCTAATTAATAAGGACATGTGTACAAAGTGTTTTTCATTGGAAATAAACCCATAAATCATATAAATATACGGTATATATATTCAGAATGTATTGGTTTATTAATATATATATAAATATCTAAAAAATAAAATAGTTTATGTTTAAATACATGAAATGCAGGTAAAATCTCCCAGATATATTTGATATTTTTCAGATCTTATCTTCAGACACTCTCACATTCAATGATTCAAAAAAAAAATTGAGTTTACCTTACTGTAAAGATATTTATCAAAATCAAATTTAAATGTCCACAGTTACTGTACACAGTAATTTACTGATTATGACACAAAAATCGATTTCAGCGTGATGTTTGTGCAGCAGGGGCTGATGGGAGGTGTGAGGACCT